GGAAAATGTTAACAAAAATTTTAGAACGGTATATGAAATTTCTTTTTAACCAAAATGGTAAAATCGCTCATAAGTAGCGATTTTGTCCGCTTGAAAAAGTAAAATCGCTGCAATAGCAGCGATTTGTTAAATTTGATTATTTTTTTATATAAAAAAATTTAAACAAAATCGCTCCTTTTCCAAACTAAAATTTTCTTTTTTTAATATGTCGCTGCTCTGGCAGCGACTTAAGTTTAATTTTTTTAAAAAAAATTATTTTTTGCTTCTTTTTTTTAAAAGTTTAATTATTTTTTTAAAAAAAAAATCAAGGTTTTTAATTAAATTTTTTTCTTTTTTAAAAAAAAATCAGATCGCTAGAAAAGATTTTGATTTAAAATCGCTGCCTCGGCACCGTTTTGATTTTAAAAAATAAATAAAAAATTTAATTAAAAATCGCTGCAATTGATTTTTTTTTAAAAATATTATTTAAACTTTAAAAAAAAAAAGAAACAGAAAATAATTAAAAGAAAAATTTGAACTCAAGTCACTGCTGAGGCAGCGACATAAAAAAGATATAATAAAAAATATATATATTTTGAATCAGTGATTTTTTTTAAAAAAATCAAATTTAACAAAATCGCTGTTATAGCAGCGATTTTACTTTTTTCGACGGAAAAATCGCTTTTTAGTGAGCGATTTTGCTGTTTTAGTTATAAAAAAAAATTCATATATCATTTTGAAATTTTTGTTAACATTTTTGACCCTTTAGGCTCCGAACTCCATTGAACTGCATGGTTATATGTCAATTAATGGTCTCTCTCATACACTAACAAAATATGGTTTGAACTTAGTAGTGCATTGACCTTACCTATCATGATTTATGCTTGGGTTTTTATGCATTTTCCCATGTTCAGTACATTCAAAGTACTGATCCGTATTGTGCCTATATTGTTTTAAAATATAGGGTCCGACGTTCTTCACACACACGTGACTAGTGGATTGATCCTACGGTGATAGATTGATGAGTACTCATGTTCCGAGGGTCATGCCACTTATGTTGCTTTATTCTCATTTCGTTTAGGTTCCATACTTAACTTCGTGAGCTAGGGATTTGTCTTAGTCACATACTTTGATAGTAGAGGTTTCAAATATGGAATTCAAAGGGAATCAAATGACTTAATTATTCCCTTGCTAGTACACCAGTTCATAAGTAAGATATTGGAAGTTAATAAAGTATAATTTCATTACATTAACAGTGTTTTTTTTACATACAAGCTTTTGTTTTAGTACTTCAAATTGTATAAACAAACCTATAACATTACACAGTTTTTTGGACACATCACATAGATTATGAACATGTACAGCACTTCATAATTCTAAGCTTAAGCAGTTGGATAAGAAGCTTCCATAGCAATTCCGCAGAGTCCTTCCTCAGCATCGACATTTCTTTGCATTCTAATGTAACCATTCTCGCCCCAACTAGTTCCCCACGAGTTCTTCACTAGCCAATACTTCGTCCCATCACTAGCTTCACCATATCCAACTGCTGTAACACCGTGATCTAACTCAGTTCCACATTCTCCGGTAAAAACACCACTTGAGTAAAACTGAAAATCTGATCCACTAGCATCAATCGCGACAGATACAGGTTGGTTAGCTACAGCTTTTAGTAGAGAAGACTCACTGTTAGCTGGAACATCTTCGTAACTTGTAATCTTTGCAGCATGGTTAGATTCCTTTCCGGTTTTGCAAGTGCTATCCGTTCCCTCGTATGGGTAATTGGATTCAGTAGTAAGCCCATGGTTCTTGATGATAAACTTAAAAGCATCATCCATCAGACCTCCTTCACATCCCATATCAGAACTCGTGTCACAGTCCACGAGTTCCTGCTCGGATAAAGAAATCAATTTACCAGTTTTAATCTTGTTGATTCCTTCTGTTGCAGCTACTGCAGAAAAGGCCCAGCAACATCCTACAATATTATAATACGGTTGATCAGTTTTTGGTATTGCAGATTCATATTTGAAAGGGAAGTTATATGTTCAATGAGTTATTGGTTAAACATAGAAATAACGATCAAAAACACATTTGAACTATCACTTTTCGCGAGTGATTGGCTGATGGTTGGGCCTAATCATCTCCGACGTGTGTTTTAATACATAAATGGTGATTGTTCATGTAGGAAAACGGAACAACTGATAGTTGAGGTGTGATAGGAAAAACAAAAATCGTTATTTCTAGTAGTGATTCATATTTAAAACGTGGGTTACATAACCATTACTTATTGGTTTAACTTACCACACTGTCCTTGATTCTTAATTCCAGTAACAGCACCTTTCAATCTCCAATCCATAGTAGCTGGAGCAGTGACGTTCTCGTATTTGAATGATGTGATTTCAGGGGATTTCTTCTGAAAAGGCATTTTATACCCGTTGTGAGTGGCTCTGAATTCATCATTCGTCAAATCAGCAAATTCATTGATGTCCAACTTGTAAGACTTGGTACCAGCCTTGTTGAAAGAATCAATGTAGTCAATATTGTCCTTGAATATTTTGAATCTTTTTGCCTTCTCTACGTCATTTTTGTATACACGCCCAAAGCGTGTCATCCACTGCTCGTGTTTTTGAACCATTGATGTTTCATACAAGCCGCGAGATGTGGCTTGAAAATCCTGCATTCCAAACACTAGAAGAGCAGCAACAAAAGCAAGCTTCCAATCAAATGTCATGGCCATTTTTCGCGAGTCGTACCTTTGTAGTGATACTAATATTTTTGTGTTTGAATGTTGATGAGAAGTTCAGAGGGAGCAAGGAATTTATATAGTAGTGCAGGTGCTGTTATGTTAACATTTTCTCATGGTATTGAGTTCCCTGGAATGCCCGGTATGTAATCTGTGATTGTGACAGCAAAGATGGACTCCGTACATGCTACTCTGTTGTCTTCAAATGATAAATATCCTAAGCCCCTCATTTGTAGCTTTGTGATATGTTTTCTTCCCATAATCTTAGCAATGGAGTACATGACTACAATGTTGTCCTTGTTGTAAATTATAATCGCTTCTTTATTGGCCATTAGCGTGACATGGACCATTAAGAATACATTATTATACTGAAGGAAAGTGGTTAAATAATGAAGGGAAAGAAAACAAATCCATCCAAGCAATGAAGGTAGATAGAGTTAAATTGTTTCTTTAAAGAAGGTCATGAGTAAGTTTTGGATGTTGACTGCAATATGAATGAGAAGTTCTAGTACAAAGATGGCACTAATAAAAGCTCAGTTGATCAAGTTAAAATCACTCGTTGATTATAACAGAGGGAAATAAGTGAATAAAAGTGAAAATCTGTCGCATATCAAGGAGACTAGATGTAGGCCACTAGTTTGGGTTGAACCAGGGTAAATGCGTTTGTGTTTAATTCCTCTTGTTATCTATCTGAGCTTGTACATACTATCTTGATTTATTTAGCCTATTATATACAACTTCTTGCATTAATTCATGATTACAAAATAAGGAACTTAAGCGAAAGAGTCCTGATAAATGATGGTTCAGAAAAGATTCAGCATTTTTGAACAAGGAAATGCTCAGTTTCTATTTGGGTTGTAGGTGTAACCAACCTGTTACGCTATAAATGATTCGATCTAACAACGGATATTTCTAGACGAGAACTAATTTTCAACTTGAATGAAAGTTGAAAGATTTTGACGGTTATCAAATGGTACATAGTCTGATACTGTTAAAACAAAGTATTACAGTAAGTTTCTCATCCTCACAATCACTAACCAATATATCTCTCTTGACTCTCGCACCTTTTCATCATTCATGGTTTGATATTATTCTTGTGTCCTAGGTGTAGAGAACTGCACCAAAACATAGCCGTATTTTCTAGCAAACAACATAATGGAAACAGTCACTCGATATAGATTGATCCAAATCCAATTCAAATTGCATACAGATCCATAAAAAACCTTTTCAGCCGCCTCTGGTAAATTTATCAATCGACTGTTAACAATATATGTTTGTAAGACTGAATTCACTACTGCTGATGACTCTGTCGTAGGTTTATCAGTTGAAAACACAATGTAAGAACTGCGATCAGTAGGCTAAGTGAGTACTAAATTCAGTAAGTTGTATGTTGGTGCAGTGCATATCAAAAGAGATTGGAAGGCAATAAAGTATAATTTCTCACATTAACAGTGTTTTTACATACAAGGTTTGTTTTAATATTTCAAATTGTATAAACAAACCAATAACATACACAGAGTTTTGGACACATCACATAAATTATGAATATGTACACCGAAGCACCACTTAGATTATGACAACGTAGACTAGACCAGTTCATAATTTCTTAAGTTTTAAGCAGTTGGATAAGAAGCTTCCATAGCAATTCCGCAGAGTCCTTCCTCAGTATCCACATTTCTTTGCATTCTAATGTATCCATTCTCGCCCCAACTCGTTCCCCACGAGTTCTTCACTAGCCAATACTTCGTCCCATCACTAGCTTTGCCATATCCAACTGCTGTAACACCGTGATCTAACTCAGTTCCACACTCCCCGGTAAAAACACCACTTGAGTAGAATTGAAAATCTGATGCACTAGCATCAATCGCGACAGATACAGGTTGGTTAGCTACAGCTTTTAGTAGATCAGACTCACTGTTAGCTGGAACATCTTCGTAACTAGTAATCTTTGCTGCATGGTTTGATTCCTTTCCGGTTTTGCAAGTGCTATCCGTGCCCTCGTATGGGTAATTGGATTCAGTAGTAAGCCCATGGTTCTTGATGATAAACTTAAATGCATCATCCATGAGACCTCCTTCACATCCCATATCAGAACTCGTGTCACAGTCCACGAGTTCCTGCTCGGATAAAGAAATCAATTTACCAGTTTTAATCTTGTTGATTCCTTCTGTTGCAGCAACAGCAGAAAATGCCCAGCAACATCCTGCAATATTGTAATAAGGTTGATTAGTTTATAGTATTGCTGATTCATATTTGAAAGGAAAGTTATATGTTAAATGAGTTATTGGTTAAACATAGAGATAAAGATCAAAAACACATTTGAACTAGCACTTTTCGCGAGTTATTGTCTAATGTGCGTTTCAATACATAAATGGTGATTGTTCGGACAGGGAAACGGAAGAACTGATAGTTGAGGTGTGAAACTCGTAAAAAAATTATAGTTGGGGTGTGAAACTTGCGAAAAAAAGATAGTTCAGGTGTATGTTTTACCATTAACTATTCAACTTACCACACTGCCCTTGATCCTTTATTCCAGTAACAGCACCCTTCTTTCTCCAATCCATAGTAGCTGGAGCAGTTACGTTTTCGTATTTGAATGATGTGATCTCAGGGGATTTCTTTTGAGAAGGCATTCTATACCCGTTGTGAGTGGCTCTGAATTCCTCATTCGTCAAATCAGCAAATTCATTGATGTCCAACTTGTAAGGCTTGGTACCAGCCTTGTTGAAAGAATCAATGTACTCAGTATTGTCCTTGAATATTTTGAATCTTTTTGCCTTCTCCACATCATCTTTGTACACACGCCCAAAGCGTGTCATCCACTGATCGTGTTTCTGGACCATTGATGTTTCATACAAGCCGCGAGATGTGGCTTGAGAAGCCTGCATAACCAATACTAGTAGAGCTATAAAAGCAAGCTTCCAATTAAATGTCATGGCCATTTTTCGCGACTCCTACCTTTGTAGTAATACTAATATGTGTGTGTTTTGAATGTTGATGAAATGCTTAGAGGGAGCAAGGAATTTATATAGTACTTCAGGTGTTGTTAATGTTGACATTTTCTCATGGTAATTGAGTTCCCTGGAATGCCCGGTATGCTATGTGTGATTGTGACAATAGAGATAGATCCCGTACATGCTACTCTGTTGTCTTTAAATTATATATCCTAATGAGCACCTCATTTGTAGCTTTATGATGTGTTTTCTTCCCATAATCTTAGCAATGGAGTACATGAACATAATGTTGTCCTGAATGCAAAATACAATCGCTTCTTTATTGGCAATTTACGTGACATGGACCATGACAAGGGATATTACTATACTGAAAATGGAAGTCGAAGGTTAAATAATAAAGGGGAAGAAAGCAAATCTCAGCAATGAAAGAATATTGACTGCAATATTGAATGAAGGGGTTCTCATCACTTTCTTTTGTAAAATTCCTAGTGTTCGAGTGAGAGAACATGTAGGAAATCCATATCGTTGGTAGTGAACGAGTAGAAAATTATCATTGTAGTCGTTGGTGTGACCGTGCTTAAAACCATACTCATTTGATCATGCGAAAGTCACTCGTTGAATATAACAGAGGGAAATAAGTGTCTAACAGTGAAAATCCCTCGCATGTCAAGGAGACCAGACGTAGGCCATTAGTTTGTGTCTTTCTGTACATTACTATCTTGATTTATTTAGTCTGTTAACAACAACTTCTTGCAATTGATTCATGAATACTAAAGAAGGAACTTAAGCCAAAGAGTCCTGATAAATAATAAATTCAGACAAGATTTGGCATTTTTGAACCAGAAATGCCTTTTTCGTTCAAAGTCCAATATTCTGATGTCCTAGGCGTAGACGAACCATACCAAAAATAGTGGTATTTGCTAGCGACAACATAATGGAGGCAGTCACTCGATATGGATTGATCCAGATCTAATTCAAATCACATAGCACTTATGGAACATAAAAAAAAGTATTGAATCAATTCTTTTAAATGGATAGATCCGACCACAACTTCAAATGTGGAATTCAAAGGGATCAAATGACTTCTGTCATAAGTTTATTAGTCGAAAACACAAGGTAAGAAGGATAGCCAGTAGGCTAAGTGAGTACTAAATTCAATGAGTTGTTTGGTTTATGCACAGAATATCAAAAACAGGAAAAAACAATCCGAGACTTTCGAGTATAAACAAAGAGATTGGATGGAGGGAAATAAAAGTATAATTTCATCACATTAATAGTGTTTTTACATACAAGTTTTTGTTTTAACATATTACATACACAGAGTTCTAGATGTGCACTTAAAATTAGGAACACATAGACGAGACGAGTTCATAATTTCTATACTTAAGCAGTTGGATAAGAAGCTTCCATAGCAATTCCGCAGAGTCCTTCCTCAGTATCAACATTTCTTTGCATTCTTATGTAACCATTCTCGCCCCAACTAGTTCCCCACGAGTTCTTCACTAACCAATACTTCGTCCCATCACTAGCTTCACCATATCCAACTGCTGTAACACCGTGATCCAACTCAGTTCCACATTCTCCAGTAAAAACACCGCTTGAGTAGAACTGAAAATCTGATCCACTAGCATCAATCGCGACAGATACAGGTTGGTTAGCTACAGCTTTTAGTAGAGCAGACTCACTGTTAGCTGGAACATCTTCGTAACTAGTAATCTTTGCAGCATGGTTAGATTCCTTTCCGGTTTTGCAAGTGCTATCCGTTCCCTCGTATGGGTAATTGGATTCAGTAGTAAGCCCATGGTTCTTGATGATAAACTTAAATGCATCATCCATGAGACCTCCTTCACATCCCATATCAGAACTCGTATCACAGTCCACGAGTTCCTGCTCGGATAAAGAAATTAATTTACCAGTTTTGATCTTGTTGATTCCTTCTGTAGCAGCAACAGCAGAAAATGCCCAACAACATCCTACAATATTATAATAAGAAAGTTATATGATCATGAGTTTTTGGTTTAACATAGAGATAATGATCAAAAACACATCTGACTTTCACTTTTTTGCGAGTTTTTGGCTGATACTTGGCCTAATTATTTTCGAAGTGTGTTCTGATACATAGATGGTGATCATTAGATAGGAAAAGGGAACAATTAATAGTTCAGGTTTGAAAAAATGATAGTTTAGGTGTATTCTTTAACTCTTCAACTTACCACACTGCCCTTGATCCTTAATTCCAGTAACAGCACCCTTCTTTCTCCAATCCATAGTAGCTGGAGCCGTAACATTTTCGTATTTGAATGATGTGATTTCAGGGGATTTCTTATGAGAAGGCATTCTATACCCATTGCGAGTGACTCTGAATTCATCATTCGTCAAATCAGCAAATTCATTGACGTCCAACTTGTAAGGCTTGATTCCAGCCATGTTGACGGAATCAATGTACTCAGTGTTATCCTTGAATATTTTGAATCTTTTTGCCTTCTCTGCATCATCTTTGTACACACGCCCAAAGCGAGCCATCCACTGCTCGTGTCTCTTGACAATTGAGGCTTCATACAAATCGCGAGATGTGGCTTGATAAGCCTGCATAACCAATACTAGTAGAGCTGCAAAAGCAAACTTCCAATTAAATGCCAATGCCATTTTTTGAGTACCTAAATAATTCTAGTGATACCAATGTTTTAGTGTTTGAATGCTAGAGGGAGCAAGCTATTATTTATACTAGTGAAGATGTTCTATTTAAACATTTTCTAATAATGAATTATGTAGATTCCATAAACGTTACTCTGTTGTTCTAAAATATACACATCTAATAAGCCTTTCACTTGTAACTTTCTGATATGTTTTCTTCCCAAAATCACAATAGCTTCTCTTTTGGCCCTTAATATGTCATGGAAACAACAACAAAAAAGCAGTTGACCATAGCATTTTATATTGGCACAATACATAAGCATGTCTCTTTAACTTGGTCTCAGTTGACATCTAACGGCTTCTAATTTTGGGTGTGCACAAATACACACTTAAACTTGAATAGGGTTGAACAAATTGATAGGTGTGTTCTACGTGGCAATTTGTGTCTTACATGTTGTCCTAGATTCGATCAACCGCTAAGAGGATCACCCTGAATAGGATTTGCATAAAAAAGGATAATAGAACTAAGAGGGTGAAATCCTGCTTTCCGGATCACCATTGGTATCCATCTATCATTTATAGTCTTTAATTTCTTTTCGAAGACTTAAGATGTATTTCAGAACCTAGAATGCTCTTTACACTCATGCTACAAGGTTTTGGGAACTTCTTTGTTGTTTCTTATTGATTGTGGCTTGATTTCCCTTTGGGAGTCTCATATGTGTATTTCTTTCGACTTACACACTATTTTGGGTTCTCGAGGTGTGTCATCATTACCTTGGCTTTTAGGTCGTGATAAACTATGTCACATAGAAGCGTGTCTATTTCTTCAATTTTATATAAGTTTAAGTGTCTACTTGTGTATGCTCAACGTTGGAGGAAACAGATGTTCGTTAAAGTCAAGTTAAATGACATATTTATGTATGGTGTCTTTATGTAGTGTTGTGTTATTATATTGTTGGGGTAACCCATCGGTGGTCCCCTAAACTTTGCATCAACTTTCACTTAGACGCCTTAACTAAACTTTGATCATTTTAGACACCTTATGTCGCTTCCTATTATGTCATTTTGATACATCTTGCTGATGTGGTAAAGTGAGTGTACTACACTCATTGTTGGTGCGCGTGTGTTGCTTTTTTAGCCTTTTTTTTTCTTATTCTTCCTCGTTTTCAGCTAGTACATCTTCTTATATTTACTCTTTCAAAAATTTTCGAAAAATCCATCGAAGACTTCTTTCAAACCTTCTATTATATGTGTTGTAAAAACATAAGATTAATATTATTGAATACAATACATACTTGACCTCACCAGTTGATGGCAAGAATGTAACCTGTTTTTCTTAAAAGAATGGAGAATAAAATTAAGTTTTTAAAAAAATCTACAATCATGATTTTAACATATTCACACACCATTATAACTTCTTAGATTTCATATTTACAATTCTAAACACCAAATAAAATGAAGAAATAGGAGAAAGGTATGGTGAAAAATACAATAAAATCAAGTAGATATTATAATAAAGACCATGAAAATGGAGAAATACGCGGAGAATATAACTATATAGGGTGGGAATAGGTGAAAAGAAAATGAAAAAAAGAACATAAATTTGAAAAAAAATGTCAAATTGACATAACGAGACATGACATGAAGTGTCTAACAAATTTTAATCTTTCACCGCACTGATAAATGTCCTCACTTATAAGGTTCATCATTTGAATAAACTCACAAAGCTTTTCATTGTCTCTCATTCTATCACTTCTCTCTTCATGCATAGTTATTCTCCCTTATTTTCCTTCATAAATTTATCTTTGAGAAGTAAAAATTGCACATTAAGATATAATCTTCATGGGTTAAATTAAACCCATAAAATGCATTTGGCAAAGAACAAGAAGACATCTGATATCACGAAGGATACAAACTACACTTCTAAACAAGTTAAGAGTTCGAATTTGTGAACTACTGATCATATTGCCCCATCTAAGCTCAGCACACATACCATAATCAATTAAATTGCTTCACAAATCCACATGTTCTTGTAAACAAATAATGCACCATGAAATCATATACAACACAGAGCGAAGGATAAAAGATACAACAACAAACAAGGAACTTTTTTCTTGTACAGGTACAAAAACAAAAAAGGCACAGTTACAGTTCTAGGGGATAAGATAATACTATTAGCACATCAGCCTCTAGATGAGACGAGTGTATAGCACGCCTTTGCCACAGTAGGGTAGGATATGATCTTATGACTTACGAAAGCTCATCCAGTAGCAAATATTTACAAGGCTCAATATCTTGCACGGCCAGAATCAGTACTGGTTCTTCACAATGAGAAATAGCCATTGCAAGAATAATCTGGTTGCATGTAAAGAACAGAGGTGACTTTCAGATGATTGAAGGAAGCATCAACAAAAAATATATATATATATACACACACTCATCTGAGATCAAGGAGGAAAATCATAATACCAGTTGCTCTACTCACCTAATCAAAATCCATGTACGCTCCAGCAGCTAAAACGTATAAGCCCACGCTGCTGCATCTGCAAAAACTGTGAAGCTAGATTCTATCAATAGGGTCGGTATGGCCCTGTACCGCCAAACGCTCTGATACATCAGCTAATGATTTGAGGTTACACCGGATGAGGGCCTCCACAAAGAAGCATGTTTCGTCCTTAGTATTCCCATCTGGTATGTCTACTACAAATGACTCGATTACAATTGTTCCAGGTCTCCCGTCAATGACCTCGGGATGAACCGTGATAATCGATGAGTAGTTCTGCCATGTTTTCATAGAAAACGAGAAATCACTTGCTAACAAGTTCAGTATATATATATTGAGTAATACTTATGCTTTCCAACAAAAAATATGCACTCCAGAAAATGATGCAAAAACATACTACCATAATTTTACTACACAGCGTGGAAGAAAAGTTAGCTCACATTATGTAAATGGAAGCACAATATTTTCATGATGAGCTATATGTATTTGGTAAAGAAACAGAAAAAGACAAAAAAGAAACGGAGTTCATAGAGAGCTTAATAAATCGAGTTTAGATAATGCAAGGTAGGTTCCTTAGACTTGAAATGTGCAAGCATAGGGGACTTATTTATCGATTCTTACAATTCATACTCTAGGCAGGTCCTGTGAATTTTGCATCATTTGATTATCAGATGTTTGGATAACATATTTAATAAGAGAAGCGATAGAGGGGAGCTGCACAATCTTGTTTTGGCAAAATGGTCCTAGCATCCCTTGACACATTTTCACTGAATTTCTGTCGATTCTTCGATATGAAACAACAGAAACCCCTCTTCTCATGGAGGAAAAGCTATCCTTGCATTCACGTCTTAGTTCTCCATTTCTTAGCCAAAAAGCAACCATGGAACAGTTCAATATGCTAACCATCTGAGCTATCAGTCCAACAACTACAACTGCTACTACCTTAATCCAAAACTAGTTGTTGATGGCTTTAAGAATTTTCAACATTCATTCCACTCCATCTGCACTTCTTTTTTTCTGGAAGTAAAATAGCTTGAATAACTCCATCTTGATATGCTTCAGTCTAATACTCAATAAATGTATATATTAAGAAAAAAAAATTAGAGGTCCATAAAAGATTCTCTACATTTTCTAGTGGTATATAAAGGAACTAAACAAAACAAAAGATTCCTGACAAACACCAAACCTAATGAGTGTACATGCACATGATAAGAGTCATAAGACCATGGACAGAAAAGGAGTATACACAAAGCTCAATAAACTGTTCTTTTCACGGTAAGGTAAATTTCATTATAAATTGTACCCAGAAGGCACTGGGAAGTAGAAAAGGCAAAAGATTACGGCATTACATCTTCACCCCCATAAGGAATAAGAAATAAAAAAAGTATGATCTTCATTGTCAATCCAACTACTATTACACCAGAAGCTCAATAAATTGGAGTTAAGATGATGTGAGGTAGATTATTTGGACTTAGTATTAGCCTCTGCCCTCTCCCAGAGGAATATTATCTAACCATACATACGAATTCATATTCAGCAGGTCATTTTGCTTTTCATCGTTCCAGTTGACAAATATTAGCATTAAACATTCATAGATGATAGAAATAGAAGTTGTGAAATCTTATAAAGGTAAAAGGATCCCTACATCCCATTCAAGAAACAAAACCACAGAAACGTCTCTTGCTACGAGGGAAAGTTGACCAGGTATTCACTTCTCCATTTCCTAACCTAGGAACAGTAATGAAGAACAGAATATTTGATGAATGGAACAGCTCAACATGCTCACCTCCTGAGCCGCTAAAGTTCCACAACACAAACCATTTGGGATCTAACTTAAAAAATACTAAAACTTCCTCTATTCCAGTTTATGGGACACTATTCTCTTCATTTTGTGTAAAAAGATAGACATCCCATTTTAAATGCTATTGACATGACTTATTTGGAACAAAACTGATTTTTTTTATTAAACAGAAGATGAAGAGATATGTGGAACTCTTGTCATCTCCCATTTAATTGTTGCTATCAAGGTCAACTTTACTAATTTGATATAATTAGTTTGTGTCAAAAAATTTCATACTGATTCAGTCAAACACCATCATGTAAAATGGGATAGGAGGTCCATGATTGCTCAAGAAAAGTAATAAGAATAGTATGGAACACAATATGCAAGCAGCTTCCATCTGATATTCAAACACAATTACATAAGTATTAACTTAGTAAGACGAGTCTGGCGCAATAAAGAAAATGGTTGTACATGAGAAGCAGACAAGGTGCGAGTAAAACTCAAGTTACTTCCATTTAAACTTCAGCAGACATTTTTTAGGCTCAAGCTTGAATTTCTTTATTGAATGGACACTTTATGATCACTATAACCATCTCAGGTAACTTCTAATTCAAAACTTCATTGTTTGTGCTTTTCCCACCCCTACTTTAAACTCTCTATCTCTATCAGGCGTACACATACACATACCTTGAAGGCATTTGAATAAGCAAAGGTGACATTAATGAATGCTAAACACATGAAGTTTCAAGTTCAAATTCTGTTTGTACACATTTATAAAATAATATAACCTAGTGACTCTCACCCCATAATGGATGCTTAACTTATAAGGAGTCTTTGATATTAATCAGCTCTATCAAAATAGAATGTTAAAAATTTACCTCGTATATTGAGATAGTTAGTATTGTGGTTTCAGAAACAGCCTCTCTACCTCCACGAGTAAGGGGTAAGAGGTGAGAAGGAGGAAGAGGATAATCAGCATAGTGGAATGGTGTAACATCATCTCTAGTTGGAGTAACTGAGAGAAAATAGCTAAGATTCAAGTACGTATAAATCTTTTACAATGAAAAGCATGTCCCCCACCCAACCGCAGCAAGAGAAGGAAATACAGTTGTCAGTGTTATTGAAGTACATGCAGATACACGAGCCAAGAAGGTTAGTGGAAAACATGGTTTCTTACCATTAAACACAACTTCACTTATTAATAATCATAAGATACAAAAAAACACCTGATGTTACAACTTAGCCAACATATAAAGTCCATCCAATGCATCCATGTATATTCTATGAGAAAACAACAGATGCATACCTGAAGCCTGTGATCTCCACCAACAATCTTTACACCAAAGATGTGTTCCTCGTCATCTAGAAGCTCTAACCTCTCCTTGCTGGTGGTAGCTGGAAGACCTGACCTAACATTCACTTCTCTCACACTCCCAATTTCAAGGTCCCCTTGCACGACACATCTGCTAACAAATGGCTTGTACCTTTGTGGTTGATCAAACCTTCTCACCAATGACCATACCTATGAAACATACCAAATCAGAAAGACCTCCATAAGAACAATATATGTTACAATCAGTCCCCCATCTGATATTAGCTACACATGAAATCAAAAACATAATGCAATTTGGTTTACCAAGGCCAACTCCAAAGTCAAACCATGCAAACATTCTACGTAACCAAACAATTAACACTACCTTACACATTCCTTTTTATAACTGTAGCATATGTGGAGCAACTCTATCCACCAAAGCTCGAACAAGATGGAAAGAATCACCTAATATTTTTGTCTCTTCTAGAAATTCAACGTGATACCCCTAGTAATTATCAACCCACTTCATTGAAACAATCAACACTATCTTCCACATAAAAATACGTTCTTTTTCTTCTTTACCTCAAATTTCAATATAGCAGCAATATCATAAATTACACAATTCAACCAAAAAAAATTTCCAAAAAGATAAAATCCCAAATCTTATTTTTCTACAATGTAAATAACCCTATATGAATAATCCTAGAAAGCCTTTGTAACAAGATGATCACATATAGATCTGAGAAAATATGAAAAGATCAAGTACATAATGGATTAAGCTTACAAGATTAACAGGAGCTCTGATGCGTTTAACAAGTGAAGAACTACACTGATTGTGGTCGAGCACATGCCTATGGTGTCTCCTAATGTACTCATCTTCCATATTGTTCATCATCTCCAACCAAAAAAATGGAAAGAAAAAAAAAATTCAATGGTGGGGTTTTGAGAATAGGCAAAGTGTGAATCAGAAAGAGTCCAAAACGCATCGCCTATTGGAACTTCCGATGGCTGAATGGTCCAAAATTGCTCCATTTTTTATGAAAAAAATACAGAGCAAGTGGACATTTGGGGGTCCCTTTACTTCACTACTCCCACACAGAAAGCGCAATAGTGACGGCTTCAGAATTTTCATTTCAAAGCATAGTAATACTTAGATGGAGACACACTATATATAATTCTAGCTTCGTTCCTATTGCAATATAATTCATATTTATCCATTATGATTGATTTGAAAAATTTTTTATACTAGTAATAATAAAAATAATAAGTGAAATATCGAGTGTAAATGTCATGACCACTAGCTCTTTGAGATAAAGAAGTTATTTTCAAAAAATTATCGACTTAAAGCAAATCAAAATAGTAATTTAAATTTAAAAATGAATAGTATATAATAATAAAAAGAATATAACAAATTATATCTTAATTTTATTATGAATAGATAAAAACGAATACCTATTTTTAATAGCGAGAAGTATTAAAAACATCGCTAAATTTGATATAAATTATTAGTTTCATCTTCAAACTATTAAGTTGGCTGACAATTTAAGTTATGTTAGTCAAGTATAGTTAAGACTGTCAATAATTTGAAAAATAAAATTAATAATTTATATTAAGTTCAGCAATAATTTCAGTAGTTCTCTTATTTTTAATATAATAAACAAATAAAAATAAATTGAAAAAATATTTAACATAAACTAAAATGGAAACATATAGTTTTGACAAGAGAAAAAGAGAGTTCAAAATTTGGTGAATGAAAGAGATAATGCTTGCTTGCTTTCATTTCACTTAATTTCCCTTCCTTCTTCTATTCATTTTTAATTTAATCGAATCGAATATTCGAATCCACATGTCATAGATACTTGGATGTGACATTGATCAACACAATAATGTAACCAACAATATTGATTTAGAGAATTTAGTTATTGATTTGCTATAGATTTATATAATTTCATATCAATATCAATATATCTCAAAAATCATTTCACAAATGAAATTTGAATTTTATCTTTTATTTAAAATAGGGGAAATTTTACAAATAGTTACAATAATAAACATAATTAGACTCATTAATTATAGTTTGCATACAGACCGTAACTATAGCTTACTCGTTCATAAAATTCATACCTGGTTTTATAATTTACAGGTACGTTTGTATAATTTGCATATATTTGTATAATTGAGTTATTTTCATTTGTATTTGTATAAATACTAGATTGTTGACACGTGCGCTGCACGTGATTATCAATTCAGAAAATTTAAGCGAAGTTTTGAATAATAAGGTTTGCACAAAATAATATTGCAGATTATTTTGTGAATGTTCAATGTCGATCGTCATACATATCTCTTGTTCGAACAAACCTTTGAAGATGGTCAATGAATTTTTTTTCTAGTTAAATGCAATAATGTGTATATATATTTCAATTTGATGAGTTTCAATCGTGTAATTAGTCGTATCTCACTTGTAACATCTCGAAAATTGAAATAGCTTGGAAGAAGCTTAAAGGTTGAAATAATCACTTTTGCAAAGAATTAAAATCTGGAAATTTTCTTAAGTTAGGAAAAAGAGAGTTTTTTGTCAACTTCAAACGACTATAACTCCTAGCTCAGGATGAGTTAGAGGTAGTTCTTGATATGGTTGGAAATCCCTTGGAGAGATCTTTTCGACGACGCCGAGTTTGCATGATTTCGATATCGTGTGAGTGAGTTATGTCTTTCAGAAGTTGGGTTGTTGGATTAAGAATAGTCCAATTCAAATTTGGGAAAGGCAAATTTGTCTTTTCCTTACCAATTATTTTATGTCGTTTTGGGGTTATAAATTGGAGTCTAAATTGATCTTATTTAGTTCACTCTTTTATATAAAAAAAAGTTAGGATTTTATGAGAAGAGAAAAGAAGAGGAGCAAAAAAGGAGAAAGGAGAAGAGAAAGCAAGAACATTCATGATCGTCAAAGTTTGGCTTATGGAATTCGTCGGGCGTGATCCCTAAAAAGATATGTGTGATCTTGTAGTATTGCGTCATTTCATTCACACACCAAACTTGTTTCAATTCATTGATTTTCGAGTTGGTTGAATAATAAAAACTGAAGTTCCTGAAGAACATTATTGAATTCTTGTTGGTTGAGTTATTGGATGCCTAGTGTTGATTTGATTCGTGTTTTCGAGTTATTTTGAGTTAAATCTATTGGGTATTGAGGGTACTAATGATCCTAAGTGTTTGAAGAAAGAACCATGAAAGTATAGAGGGTTTAGAGATGAAAAATGAAGGAGAAAGGTCGAGAAGGCCTGTTCGTAGAGCCTTGGGGCGCCGCGCCTCCCATAGCCCCATATGAAAATCTCTGTCAGTCAGGCCCTGGGGCGCCGTGCTAACCAGAGTGCCCCAACTTGGCCTCAGAATTTTGGAGCCTGGCGCCCCACGCCTCTCAGAGCACTTAGGACGCTAGTTCACCCTATTCTTCCCCCATCTTTTTGAGCTAGTTTCTAAGTGATGAACCTATGTTTTCTAGTTGATTCTAACACTCTAAGGTACGTCTAAACATCATGAAATCATTCATAAGCATGAGATCATGAACCTTGAATCTATAATCCAATTCAAGGAAAGTTAAGATTAAAGTCAAATAAGTTAAAAGTCAAGTCCAAAAGTTAAGAAGTAAGTCAAAGAAAGTTCTTAAAGTTTTCAAGAGTCTTTAACAAACGTTTTAACTTTGTTTTAAGTTTCAAGTTCAAGATAAGCAAAGAGCATAGAGTTGAGTTCATTTCTCAAAAGTTATAAGGGAACTAAGTATTCCCTAAGAGCCTATAAATTTTTTCACACTTAAGATAAGAGGAAACTAAGATTTCCAAAAGAGTTTTGAGTTAGAAATGAGAACATTGATTCCAAGAGAACTTTCTAAAGCTTAGTGTTGAGCAATTATCTCAACCCAAAGAAAGAAGTTATATTTAAAAGTATGAGCGAAAGTATATTTTGGGAGTAGTATTGAGCACCGATGAGGGAATGAGAGTTCATATTAACTCAAGTCTCCATGAAAATCATGTAGCCATCATGGGTATTAACGGTTCATACTTTTTAGATGATCATGTAAGTTAAGCTAGTTGATCCACTAAGTTAAGATAGTTCCCTATACTTATGGCAAGATATAGGTCGGTCCTTGGCAGCGCAAGGTATAGTGTTGTATCATCACTATAGCTCTTAAGTGATAGTTGTCGGTTAGATAAACTCCCATAACAGAAATTGAATGGTTCCTCAAGAGGTTCTGCTTAGTATGAATGGGGTTATGGAACTTAATTCGTACATTGCACAAGTAGACTTTGAGAGGAAGAATGATATGTCTTTTATTAAAATTATGAGTTTACATAAATTTATTTGTATTTTACATACATCTCATAGTAAATTGTATTTTGCATACACAGAGTTGAAAACCATGTTTTAAACAACTTTTCTTTATTTGCACATGTCTTTAAACTAATATACAATGAAATGAGTTAGTTATATTGAATTATGTTATTCATGAGTTGAGCAGGTAAGTTTTCATTCTTAGAGCCTGTTTGGCTCAGCTTAAAAGCTGGTCAAACTGACTTAAAAGCTGATTTTTGACTTATTTAACTGTTTGGCAATACTCAAAGTAACTTATTTAAATTTAAAAAAATTTATTTTAAGCCAAAAGTTAAAAGTTGGGGTAGGGGTGCTTTTTTTTTTTTAGCTTATAAGCTGTTTTAAGTTGACCACATTTTTATCTTTTTGTCCTTAATATTTTTATACAATCTCCAAATTACCCACATAATCCTAACATCTCTTTCTTCCATTTTTTCATTTTCACGTTTAGTATAGCAACTTCAGCACTTTTATCCAAATACATAACTGCTTATTTTAAAAATAAGTTTCAGCACTTTCAAAAGTACTTTTTTAAAGCTACTTTTATTAAGCCCATCCAAACGGGCCTTTCTCTTTTCAAGGTTAAGTTGTTTTAACATTCCAACTCGCACACTTGTACATTCAATGTACTGATGACCGTTGGACTGCATTGTATTATGATGCAAACACAGATAGCTACGATCGCCATTCGACGTACCGTTGATCCAGTGAGCAGCTCAGAGTCAATTGGTGAGTCTCCCTTCATTCCGGAGGACATCTTTATCATTCAAGTTATTGTTTTTAGTTTTCAGTTGTTAGAATGATTGGGGTCATGTCCCAACATCCCTCTTTATTTTAGAGGCTTCATAGACAGATAGTGTTAGTTTCTTTGGTCTTTTCATTTCAGTTGAAAACGTTTAAGACTAGAGTTGTCATTTTGACTAAGAATTAATTTTAAGTTATTTCTTGAGTTATCTCTTGTGTAAGTTCGGAGCGTGACATCATTAATATTCCTTAATAAACAATATTTGTTATAGGATTTCCTAAAAGACATCGAAATTTTTTAAAATAATATATTTAAAAGTTAGAAGATCTTGTTAACTTGATAATACATTTTTGTGACATATATATTTATCTGAAATGATTTTTTTCTTCATAAAAAATAATGAAATATTAAGAAATAGTAAATTGGTAAATCTAAAGGGCAATGTTTACATAGTAATAACTATTTTAATCAAACTTCTTGACAGTCTAAATCACATAAGTAACATTGATAAATAAAGTCATTCTTTTGTCTTGAGCATCAAAAAAACAAATCATGCTAATTCTCTAATTCTTGAGAAGTTTAATAATTTTGAAAAAATATATTCAGAAACATATATCTAGACCACAAGAGAAAATGATATAAAATAAATGAATTTTGATTTCAATAAAAATTTAACTAATACAAACTTCCCAGGCGTAATTACAAGTCATATTAACTTTTCTTCATCGAAAATATTGAAATAGTAAAAAATAGTAAAAAAAAAAAAATGTAATATTTATATATAGTAATAAATATTTTGAAGAAAATTTCGTGACAATTTAAACCACATAAGTAGCATTGAAAAATAAGGTTATTCATTTTTTTTGGGCATCAAAAATCAAATCGTGACAATTCTCCACTCTTGAGAAGTTTAATAATTTTGAAAAAGATATTTAGAAGTATATATCTACATCACAAGAGAAATTGTTAACAAAAACAAATA